CTTGTTTTACAGTTGTCATGAAAACTTCCCGGAAATCAAAATTTCTGTGCATGATCTGGGCACATTGACAAAAAAACAGCTCAATCCGCTCCAGGCTTTTAAAATCTACCCCATTTTATTATAAATGAGTTTAAGAGGCATTCATGTAAACGTACAGTATAATCTGAGTGATGCGAAACCGCGGCAGATACGAATTCTTGAAATTCCCCAGTCAAATTTTACTATCTCCATTGGGCGTCAATTCGAATGTTTCGAACACATTTCCTAACCGTGGCGGGTGATACGAACTTTAGTACGGAAACCATCGAACGGAGGCCGAGGGCAGCGTACTCAAAGCGCGGAAGTACGGGTGCGACCGGCGCACGCATTGTCTTCTACAGTGCGTGTGATTGTCGTTCTCACAACCGCTGTGGACGATACCACGGTTGCTCTTGACACAATCATGTATCGCGACAACATAACTGACAGAACCCCGAAAGTGTGTGCTCAACCAGTCAAAGCAACGCTGCTTTCCGCAAACTCTGGGGACAAAACTGCGGCAGATGCTATCGTAGATGGCATAAAACGACTCAGTTTTGAAGGCGCGTGCGCAGCCAAGCGCATGGGGATTGTAAAATGAACTTCTGTTTGCCGCAACCGCCGCACACAAAACCGCGGTCGCGGTGACGAGATAGCTATCTACGAGCTCCGAGGGTACGCAGCTGTAGGTTAAAAGCAGTAAATGCGTAAAAAATAATAAAGTGACACTTTCGCTGCAAGGTCGAAGCAATAAATGCGACAGCAACAACTTGGAATGTAATGCTGAGAAAGGCAAGCAGATGGAAACGCTGCAGTGCGCTGCTCACACATAAATGATGCACGAAAACGATACTCGCAGGTCAAGAGCGAACTAACAACATTTACCGCTCGACACGTAACGCGCTGTTTAAACAAATATGATGCGCGATGCGTAATCACAGGTACAGTTGAGTACAAACTAACGAGTGTCCCAGTTGTTATACCTCACTGTGTATGAAAAGTGCGCTATTTTCGCAAAAGGGGCCTGTGCAGAGACCAAAGTCACCTTTGTGGGCCTGGCAACTAACGCTTTTGTTTCAGTGAGAGCCAAAGGCACACGATTCTTCCATCAAACAATAAGCGTGCGCGCACAGGCATCCATCCATGGAGCAAAGTACACGTGAAAGATGAGCACGCGTCGGCGCATCGCGGCGAGCTTGGTGCTGAGCGCGGGTGGCTTTTTTTTCTTCTTTGAGTGTTCATATACACAAACGGTAAAGGGCGAAGACAAAAAAAAAAAACAGCTTGGACTGCTCATAAAATTGCTATCGCAATAAAAAGGGGCCAGACGTGTTTTGGCGTTCCTGTCAAAAGAATATAGTAGTAAGCAAAGCTTTGACCCGCACTTTTGCGGCAGCCAGCTGCGCCATCCCATTCATTCACGTGTGTCCTAGGAAGACACACGCGAGTTGTTTTGACAGAAATAGATTCTGCTAGTTGATCCTTTGAGACTCTCACCTTAGTGAAAAACTCTACCCTCGTGTGTTCGGCCACTCCTAGCCACTATAAGACCGCAACGCTGATGTTGGCGCTTGCTATTGAGATCCCCCTCCCACCCCCTTTTGTTTTTCCCCCTTGTTTCTTGTTTGTTTGTATGTCCTTGTTTTCTTTCGTGCCGCGTGCCCCCCCCCCCCCCCCCCCCCCCCGTGGTTGCGGAAATTTCCCGGATTCAAAATCCTTGAACTTGGCAGGTATGCAATGCTCATTAAGAGCGGCAGAATGCCTGATAAGTGTATTTGCATGCATTGAAGCTGTTTCATATGTAGCTGTGGCAATTTGACAGCTTGAGATGAATAAAAAAGTAGGAATTCATTCTGGCAGACAATTTCACAGTCCCTAGGGAGTCTGAAAAATCGAATGTTGACTAATGAAATTTTGCACTGTATATATGACCTTCTTAGATGGTGATCTGCTTTTATACCAGGTGTGTCCCAAAACCTTATAATCTACAGAATTTCTAGAATTGCAAATACTGCGTTTGGTGACAACCAAGAAACCGAGTAGCGTGCTGATGCAGGCATGGGTAGCTCAGGATACGGAACGATACTTCACTTGCCACCATTTTCCTAAAGGGAAATGGTGGCAAGTGAAGCTTGGTGTCTGCATGCCTGGTCTGCTTTTTACAGCGAAAGCTGTTATGAGATCACTTTTCGGATCATGCGCAGTTGTTGTTGTCTGCCGCCGCCGGTGTCCGTAACCACATAGCGCGAAAATAGAAAAAAAAAAAAAAAACGTTGCACCAATGACACAGTGGAACTTGAACCCTAGTCCGCTGGGTGCCAGCCCAATATTCTACCACTGAATTACGCCGGTGCTTGTAACTTGTTGTCAAACTTGCCTTAGGCAGGCATGACCTAGCACCAATGGCACTGCGGGGCTCGAACCCAGGTCCACGGGGGTGCCAGCCCAGTATTCTACCACTGAGCTACACCGGTGCTTGTCAAACTTGCCTTAGGCAGGCTTGATGTGTGGAAAGCAATCGCATTAATACGACTTATAAAGCGTTTTACAACAGCAAAAGAACAACCAGTCATTGCACAATGCGAATAGCGTAATGAGTGGGCCGTCCAATGCTCCAAACCATTACAAAAACTTGTTCTTGTTCCCCTATTAACTGTGGCGCGCATACCCACTTCAGCCATAATTCCTCATCGTCGTCAGCCACTGCATGAACAATTGGCACAAAATTCCTTGCAAGTGTTTAGCAGATACCACACTTCTCAGAAGAATGACGAAAAATAGCATAGCGAATGCCGGCCTACTACCCAAAAGTTTATTATTAATGTCCTAGTAGGTACCAAGCAAGCGTGCTTGCAGTAGTTACCCAATGAGTGTGTTGAAAAGGCTCTGAAAGGCCGCTCCTCTAGCTTTTGCTGTGACTGTGCTGCGCCTACCACGCAGGCCTGGCATTTCTCTTTCTTTCACTCTTAATACTCAATAGAACCTCCTACCTTTTTTCTTCCTCCATGCCAGGAATTTGACTCTCACCGATGGGCTTAGCAGCGCAACACTTCTGTTGCTAAAGGCAACAATAAAATGCAACAATGAAAGAGGGCAACATGAAATGACAAGTGACCTCGATAAAAGATCAGCTTGCTTTGTCAGAAACAGCTAATCTGATCACTACCAAGCCCACGATAGAGAGAGCATTGATTACTGGAAAATAGCTCGTATGAATATGCATGTGCCTGGCACACTTTTGAGTGTCGCATTTTTGTACATTCACCAGTGCTGGGTTTTTCCATGTATGATGCCGCTTCCACTGAAATCTTGGACTAAAAAGTTTCACTTAGAAAAACTCATTCACTCGTTTGATCACTGTGTCCCACTCAGTCACTTAGTTTGCACCATGCCATGATGTGACTTCTGCTTTGGAGCTTCTTGGTCAGAAGAGTACCCCACATTTACACCAAAAATATGTGAAAATTTGGTATGTACTAGCAAGCTTCATCCAAGATGGAGGTCAGTACACAAGGAACAGAGTCGTGCTGTGGTCTTCAGTTCGGTGACCATTAACTTCATTGCCAGATGCCACGTAGCAGTTTGGTATATAAAACAAGTAGTTGTGTTGCAATTTTTCAAAGGTTTGTGCAAAACTCCTATCTAAATTTTTGTTTCTGTGTGCTTGTTCCTTTTTCTTTAGTTTATTCTGTCTCATTATGAACTGTTCTGAGGGGAACACGGTTCTTAAAAATGTTTTTGTTTTAATTGAATTTGACAAAGCTTGGTGAGTTTATGTGTATTTGTGCTGATTTCTAAGATGCAATTATTTATTTCAGTATATTAAGTAGTTTTTAAAATACAAAATATTTCATGTGCCTTTTAGGGAGCAAGATTTTTTGTAAACTTAGAGTGCTACTTAGTAGAGCATCATACCACAATAATCTGGACTCAGAACTGTGTGCAGTGCAACAATAATGGATGTTATAAATCCATTTGTACAAAACTTATGGTATCTTGAACATTCACGAGTGTGTCAATTTCAAGCTGAGATTTCACTTCCAAATGTTCAACATACTATGCGTTTTCTTCTAATGGCTTTAGACTATCCATTTCTGCTGCACGTGCATGCACTCAGTTTTGATTGCAGAATATTGTGATATGTTGATTTACCTTTCAACCTCTCTGTTTAGATTATAAAAAACAAAAACTTGCTCCCCTAAAAGCACATTTGTATTTTAAAAGCTATGTTATACTGAAAAAATAATTGCTTACATGATATCAGCACATAAATGTTTACATGTAAGCTCACCAAGTTTCATCAAAAGTGACCAACAAAAACTTTTTTTAAGTGCTATGTACCTCCTTAAAAGGGCCCTACAACACTTTTCCAAATAGCCATGAAATGGATTCACTAAAAGAGCTTATTCCATCACAAATTCATCATCGCAAAAATGTTTAGCATCTGTCCTGTACGAAAGGAGTTACAAAGATAGGATGCACGCTGCAACTGCATTCTCTCTTCTCTCATCCCACTGAAAGTACTCAAAGCTAAGAAGGAAGTGTTTGCATGGAGTAAGAAAATAAGTCACTCACGCCTCACAACCTTGAACACTTTGTCTCTCTCTTTTTTTTTTCTTCTTATAATCGGTCGTTACTGCTTCTCGGTCGTTACTGCTGGCCCCAGTAACGACCGAGTGCGCCATGCTCAAATAAGCCAATGGCTGATACTTGGCCTGTGACACAGTGGTTTTTGAATCTGTAGTGTCATTTGCCTAGAGAAAAGAAAGCGAGTTTTAGATGACTTTGAGAAATAATTATAAATTCCGGGCCCCGTGCTGCACTATATTTTGCTTGCATGTTCTTAACTACCGATCGGCAGCGTTTTCTAATCATCAAAAAGTGTTGCAGGGCCCTTTTAATAGATATAAGCTCTTCATGTCTAGCTTTTTCAATCCTCACTTATTTCCCACTAACATGCCTGTTCTGCTATCTCTTTCCAGGCAGTGAAGATTCAACCTTGCATTATCTTCATTGATGAGATTGACTCATTCCTACGGTCTCGTGATAGTCAAGACCATGAAGCAACAGCTATGATGAAGGCGCAGTTCATGTGTCTCTGGGACGGCCTAATTACAGATCCCGATTGCCAGGTTGTGGTAATGGGTGCCACTAACCGTCCACATGATGTTGACAAGGCCATCCTGCGCCGCATGCCAGCTATGTTTCATGTTGGGTTGCCTGTGAGTTGTGAAGAAAGCAGCAGTTTTTTCTATGTTGATCATGTAAGGTGGATAGTTCTGCCCATGACTGTGTTCCACCCTCAAGTTTATTCTAGTCAATTTTATATGCAGGCAAATTGTGCCATTCTGAGGGCACAAGTGTATCTGTCTTATGCAAGCCCTGATGCCCATAGTTCTTTCTTTCACTTGTGTTGAAGGCGATCTTCAGCAAATTGCTGTGAGTTGTCACATTCTGGATTTAGGGAGTGGATTATTGAGGTAATGTACGTGATGGAGGTGCATCTTTTCAACCCTATATTGTCGTATCTACTGTCCCCTTCATGCCAAGGTTGCTTAGTGGCTAACATGTTGACCTCTGTTGAGCTCAAGGACCTGGGTTCAATTCCCAGCTAATAATGAGATTTAGGTGCGCACCAAAAAACTCCAGGTGGTTAAAATGCTGTGCCTCATAATTATATTGTGATTTTGGAATATGCAATCGTAGAATTCAGTTCCTTTACCCTATGATGCAGCAGATGATTTGTCACAATATTATACCTGCCATGTTTTCAGAATTTTTCGTAATGTTTATTATTTCAAGCTTATTCTCGAATTATGTTAATAGTAACATTAAATGTTATGGTTGAAGTCACAATTCCGGCCTAAATGTGGAGAAGTGAAGCAGTGCATTAGACAGTTATAGGAAGTAGCCGTAATATTGGTTTTATAGCTGATTTTCCGCAGCGGGCTTGCTCATTCAATCTAAATGACACCTTGTCTCCTTATGTCTCCTTATACCATAGCCGTCTTTCTGCCGTGGCCTTCTGCAGCACTGCTGAACATAGGCCTCGCGTCGTCTGCTTAACGACCCCATAAGGTCTGCTTCGCTTTTAATCACATGCGAAATTCTAATGAGGAAGTTGTTTGCAGAACAACTGCATCGCGTCGTCTGCTCGGCGTCCCTATAGCATCTGTACACACGCGAATAAAAGGGAAGCAGACGCTATGCGGACGACGAGCAGACAATGCGACGCAGATGTTGAGCAATGCTGCAGAAGGCCTCGGCAGAAAGATGGCCACAATAGGGAAAGTCGACATAATAGCACCTATGGGTGCAATTTTCTTCCACCTTGATCTTATTTCGTCGTCCTGCTTTGTGTGACCCATAAGTTCGCAACGCACAAATTTATTTTTTGCTTTATATTTACATCCTGCTGAAGCTTCGAGAGCAATGTATTCATGGGTATTTAGCAGTGTTTTCTAGATTCATTGTCAAACTCTCGGAGACGAGGCTTAGAAGGCATGGCTAAATAAACATAGCAAATCTCCTTAATAAAAACAGTACATACCGGATTCTTGTCCCCAATGTGAGATGACACGAAGCGGTAGCCGATTTCACCATTTATTTATTGCTACAACGACAGTGGGCAAATAGCAACCGTGAGTTTGGATCGATTGTGAGTTGGGCGCCGCTGCGGAAAATTGTCTATACAGGGCGCCCCTCGTTATTTCTAGCCAGAATGAAAAAATATGCCAACATACTCTATGGCAACACGACCAAAGCATGTTGCTAACTATTGTGTGAATTAAGTGGCAGTACGTTTTGTTTTATATTCAATTGCCTAATAGGCATGTTTATTCAACTGATTTTGAAGCAATAAAGCTAGCCAGAAAGTTGTAGATTAGTTTGGAGAACACCTGAATAAACAGTCTTTAACTTTAATTACTGCTAAGTATTGGTGTTTTGCTTACAACAGATGCCTACGAAATAAAAAAAAGAACACCACATGACATGCCCATTTGCGCGCTATGCGTTCTGTGATTTCAGTGCCCTCTAATGTTCCACAAATTAACTGTTCATGATGGTGACAAGCAGACCCTGTGGTTATCGCTTGTGTTGCCACAAGCAGCAACCACTACACCTAGCCTAGCAAAATATGCGTCATTGCACAGCAACCACTATCGTCGTTGTCCTGTCAAGGCAGCACACCCGACCAACTGCTATGGTACTTTACATCCGAAACATTAGGGAGTGCTGCAATCAAGGTGCTCAAGTAGACATGTGACGTATGTTTCTGTATTTTGCGGACATCTGTTGTATGCAGAAAAACACTAACACTTGATAGATAGAAAGTTAAAACCGTCTAAGCGGACCCACTTTTGTTGCTTTAAAAGTGAGATAATTAAAAATAAAAGAAAAGGCAGTGTGACTTACTCCATACGGCAGCCGTCAACATACATTTGGTCACGTTGTCATAGATTGCTCCGGCACACTTTTAAGGGGAGATGCAAGTTAAAAAATTTTCGAAAATTACATATTTCTCATTTTTATTCGTTGTGACAAGTACAGTTTCTCTACTTCCACAACAAAAAAACTGAAGATTCCAATTAAACTCGTAGGAGGTTAAAGTCACTTTTAAAGAGCACAAAGTGGCTACTAAAAACTAAAAGGAGCTCATTGTATAGAGCCCCCTGGCTACTTGCCATTGCATTTTGCTTGTTCACTTAAGCCACATGCTCAAAATAACCATCACTTCCCAGCTCTCATGATGGAAGAAATTATCTCAACAAACTAGGCTTGTGTGAATGGTGTACAGTAAACTCCCCTTAAGGCGAATTCTGTTAAGGTGAATTCTTGATTAAGAACACTTGCGGGTCTCTTACCGTCGCTAGCATTTAATTGACATTTCAGGTATGTTCCACTGCAATAACGAATATTCGTTGCAGTTCACATCTCCCAATAGCATCTTCTAGGTTGCAATCCATGGTCTAGTTGGTGTTTATTCTTTGCACATGTCCCCTTTGTGAATTGGTGTGGTGGCAGGGTAGTGTGCACAGGCAGTTACAAATGCTCTATCCACTTTTCTTAAAAAGCGTGACATATGCTATGAAAAAGCGTGACATAAACGTTATTCAACTGGCAACGTTTCACGTTGTTTCATTTGCACGAAGAACATAATGGATAAGTTTGAAACTGATAGTGCAGAAGTTGCTACCTATTGGGCGCAAGGACATACCGTGGCACCATCATGCGGAGGCATCCTTGTGATGTATGTGGTTGGATTGCTCTGCTGCCCTCTCATGCACAGCTTGCAGTTGCTTTTGCGTCTCCTTTTTTTATTATTATTCTTGTACTTCACTCAACAAAATCAGTAAAATACTGTTGCAGCTTCTTCCCCGACTGTACGAAGTGCAAAATAACTGCCCCAGAAAAGTGTTACGTTTCTCAGAATGCCTGACTGCCGGCATCGTCTGCTATGGCCACTTAATGAAAAATCATGGTGGCCAAGCGCGCCGCCTCTGTAAAAGGTGACGACTCATTCAGTGTCGAAGCATCAAACGAGTAATAATGGTACTGAAACTTACCTATGCTCCAAGAAATGTGCGCATTCACGCTACTTTATTGTAGTTTTGCATCTAAAGATGGGTTGCGGTTGACATGACCGGCTTGTGCAAATTATTTTTATTTAGCACACACAATCCTATGAAGTACAGCGCAAGCGGGTTCCCTGCTTTGTGGGAAGCAACACAGCATTCTTACAGCCGCATGCAGCCGCAACCTTTTGTTGTGATTGCAGGCGAACGCATGCACGTTCCTCATTCAGAGTTGCAAGTTTTCTCTTTGGCATGCTCCTAACATTTTTGCGCAAAATTTCTACGGTTGTTACACATTGCCTATTTGATCGCCGTCGAGCCACACATGGGTGAAAATTATGAATGATGGGTTCAGTTCCAGAGCTTCTACAAAGGGATAAATCATGATTTAAAAATGCGATCAGCCAGCCATATCTTTTTACGCCCTTGAGCATGCTGCGAGGTCTTGCGTACTGTGATCTAAATGGCAATTTCACGTTTCAGTAAAATTGTACAGGGTTTCTTTTGCAAAAATTCATAAGCTGTGTGATACTTTGTAGCAGCTCTCGGAAGACGAATCAGTTTTCGAAACTGACCATGTTTTCACCTGTAGATCAAAACAAAATTAAGAGGATGTGATAGTGGCTATGGGCCCATTCTACAGACGTAATCTATAAGCAAGAAATCCTGTGAGCTGAAGTTGCAAATGGTAGGGGTGTTGGCACAAATTTTTATCGAAGGGGGCACCACCTTGATTAGAACTAGGAGCCGGGCCAGCAGGTAAGAGTGACCGTTATTTTGTGCACTATTTACCGTGAGAAAATTAGGGAGGAGGGAAAGCACGGGCTTGGTATGCCACCCCCTGGCTACGCCGCTGGTGAATGGAAACCCGCATGGTCGGGTACACACATGGGGACAGACATCCGGTGAATGGGATGGTGGTGGTGCATATTGCGGTAAAAGTTATCTTGGTGAGAGAAGTAAGCTTTAGCATAGACTTGAGTGCACGTGTATGATGTAAGAAAAAAAGGTTTCGTCGAACACGCAGACGCAACTGGCCATGAAATATGGAATAGGGTAAAAATAACGAATGTAAAGAGAAAAGAACTGGAATTCTGGGCTCTATCTTGACTCTCTGACAATTCAGGGTCCTATTTTAAAATATACATAATCGGACTGTTTGCACATTAATTTTTCATTGTGAACAACACTCCCATGCGGAAACTGAAACGTTCTGCTTTTATGTGAACATTCATGGTCTTTGCTCATTTTAACCCCATGGGCTTGAAATAACAACAACAACAACAACAAAGAAAGAGAGAGGTGACAGTGGCACTGCCAGTGGCCACAACAGTGGCATTGCGTACATAGCACACTGTGGCACACCGCTGGTAACGTTTACTGCAACTTTTCGCAATGTGTAGCCTGCAGAAGTTCGCTCAGATGAAGTTAGAGCAATACAACACTGTTCAAAAATGAAAACACTGCAAAGTTGTTAAAAACAGTGCATCCAACCACTAGCTTTCCTACGCCAGAGGGAGGCAAGATCACATGATCCAACCCTGCACATCACAGCGATTGCAGTGCTTGCACCTCCAGGGGTGCACTTTTGGGAACATATTTAGGAAAATGCAAAATTTCATTTCAGCGAATCTAGTAACGTATACTTCTATTTTCCTTGAATGCTCATTGTAAAGCTTTCTGCGGTGTTTTTTAACAGAAACTGCATGTTTGGTGCTTGTGGGAACATTTGCTTAGTTCTGTAGCACACTGCTGCTGCAATGAAATCTGGACATTGTGCATATTTGTTCGCATTTTCTTACAGAATCAGCAGCAAAGAGCTGGAATTATCAAGCTAGTGTTGGAGACAGAAGGGGTAAGTTGCTTATGTTTGCCCATATTGTAAGTCAACTTATCTCACAGCTTTGTGATGAAACTATAATTATAATTATAGTTGATCTATTATATTCCATGTCTTCAAATCATTCTAATGGGCTTGGCTTCAGAATTGTTGGTCACATCTGTTTTTGTGTTCATTTTCGTTTATATGTGTTATCGCAAAGTTTGAAAAAGCCAGTTCACTGACAGTAAGAGAGGTTAAAGCTGACTGAACAGCACATTTGATACTTCAAAGGGGGCCATGACACTCAATTTTCAATCAGTCTGTGTTGTATGGGTTAATCCTTAGGCGTTCACAAACTGGCAATATTTTAGCACATGACTTTTAATGTTACACTTTTAATGTTACAATGTCACAGCCGCATGGGTGCCCCGCTTCACCTTCAATGTCTTCCCCCTTCTCCTAATCTTTACCACCCCATCACCGCACAAGTCTGGTCAGTGTCGCCCCATGTGCTTCCCGTGTGACCAGAGTATCCGCAGACAACAGGTCGCGAGCACAGAAAGACGCTGACCAGGCTTGCCGCTGACAATCGGCAGGCTGTTAGTGTCATTGTAGTGTGAATGGAACGAGGACATGACAAAAGACTCTCTTGCAGATAGTCTGTAGGCCAAAATCGGTGCCGTGTCTTGCTATTGTAAACACGCCTAAAGAACTGTTCCTCTGTTTAAGCGGTGTTCGCATTACTCGGTCTAAAGTCACATGTAACTGGGCGCCCTCTGGATCAAAGTACCCGAGTTGCGCATTTACTTTGTCTTTGCGGTGTTTATGTAACTCTCACTTGGCCTTTATGAGAACCAGAAATTGAGGCCATAAAGAAGACTATTTTTCTGAAGCAGCAGATGTCATGGAAAGCCACTTGAGAGTGCGAAAAAAAGTGTTCGTGTGGCTCTGCTTACTGGTGTTTAGGGAAGCGAAAACCATACAGAAGCGATTGAAAGTGTTAATGTGCATATATGTCATAAAAATGTTATAAAATTATGTGAGTACTGATTTAATTAGTGAAAGTTATGTTAGGAACAGTTAATTAGGGATAGTTACTGTGTGGATGTTGATATGAATTGCATGGTACAATAGCCACACCGCATAGCTTTCACCTTTGAGTTGTCTGAGGTAACAGGGCATAATAGTTAGCATGGCCAATAAATAGGTTGTGCCATTTACTGGGGAGCAAAATGGACTGAAATGATTTATAGGGACACTGCAGGCACATTTTTGTGGTTAGCGGTTTATGTGCCAAACCATCACTTTCCTTTTTCACTTTCTTGCTATACTATACTGCGCATGGCTGTGCTTTGCTTCACTTTCTTACCTCCTGTACTTTTCTATCCTAGGCAGGAGACTACTACAGTATCTCCTCTGTTGGGCCTGTTGGTTGATAGATTTAGTTGACAAGTTTAAACTGTGCAAAAACAGCACGTAAAAACATAAAAACAGGCACACACATGAAGTACATTGTGTGTGTGTATGTGTTTATTTTCTTGTGTGTTGTCTTCATCGTGCAGTTTAAACTTTTTTGCTGTATGATACTTAGCTCGTTCGAGCTCAGCTTTAACAGCTTGGACGCTTTAGCTTGTTCATAAAACATACTACGCGCAGAGTGATATTACAGATTCGGACTTTATACAAAACACAACGATGATGACAAAAACCTTTCGAGTGTCCATATGCAGTGAAATTTCGGTAATACGATCACACCTCATGTGAATTTTGGGGTGATACGAATTTTTCTTTGGTCACAGTCAAGGCTTATTGGCCTGCATTGTAATGGAATATGGTTGTTGCGAACCCATTTTCACCCTGCGATATTTGATACGAATAAACACATAACTTGCTGTAAGTTTATTCGTTTCAATTCCTCAGAATGAAAAAACTTAGCCCATTCCCACTCTGGAAATGGCCAGGCAGATCGATTACATTCCTACAATTCCTCAACGTAAGAAAGGCATGTCTTGATAGCTTTATCCAGATAAGAATGATTGTAACAACATGAAGTTGATGTCATCAAATGCATAATAACTGCAAAACTACGCTAAACACATTACCACAGTCGAGGAATGACTTATCTTGGTGACTTATCTCATGCAGTACAACTACACTACTCGTTCCCATAGGGGCAGTTCTCCCCGTACCTATGGTATTTGCATGGTCAGTACAACCTTAAAAAAGATAGCTGACAACGCATACATTTACTTGTTTCAAGTGTGTTTTACTATCTTCGCTGCATATCTCTGCTACAGCCAGCAACTAGTAAAGCTTGAAACTATTGCTGTTACTAACCAAAAATTTTTTCTTGGTCTTTTTAACTAGATAACTGCTAGGCCACATACGTTGCCGAATCTCTCGCAAACACTACCGTATATCTTGCAGTGATCGTGACACTCTTAAGAAAAGTTTAGACCAATCTTAATTTTGTCTCTAGTGGCTAAGGTACTCACCTGCTGACCCGCAGGTCGCGGAATTGAATCCCGGCTGCGGCGCCTGCATTTTCGATGGAGGCGAAAATGCTGTAGCCCTGTGTGCTCAGATATGGGTGCACGTGAGAGAACCCCAGGTGGTAGAAATTTCTGGAGTCCTCCACTACGGCGTCTCTTGTAAAAAATATAGTGGTTTTAGGACGTTAAACCCCTCATATTCAAATTAAATCAATCTTAATTTTGTTGATTACTCTGGAATAAAAGTTTTGGGCTAAGTGATGACATAAATAAAGAGCAGACGATGATGTATACAAAATGTTCATTATTTTTCTAAAATCTATGGCTGCTAACCAGTACACGGTGTGCTATTACAAATTAGGAGCATGAATAGCCTTCAAATGGCTGCTACAGTATACGATACTGGCTAATTCTTGATATTCTATGTGTGCATTTGCGTGTATGTCCTCGTCTGTGATTCGTTCATGCCTCTATGTATGTTGCTATGATGCGTACTTGCCGTGGTAATTACGTGAAGTAATTAGTGGCCAGTAATTAATCTAAATGTACAATTGCACTTCGCTTATTCTATATATGCTTCTGCAATTGAACTGTCTTGATGTGATAATGTTCATGCACATATAAACACCCATTAGCTGAAAATTCAGTGGCTTTTTAATTATTCGAGTCAGCACTATTCAAGAACTACTTCGCAAAGTAGCAAGTTTCACTAATCAGCATTTTACTACCTTCGCTCTCTAGGCGGTTAGTGCTTTATGTGAGAAGTAAACTGGTAGTATTTAGTTAGATGAATAAGCAAGCTTTTTTTCTAAAATTACATGTTTAAAGAATGATACTTGAAATGTTTTTAAGCTTAAATGCATTATTGTTAAAATGATAACTTTGCAAATCATTGCGTAGGGATTCGGGAAGGCGCAGCCTCAGTATTGTGGGATTACTTGCTTTGGCTGGCTACCTTAACCAATGCTTTCTAAAGTCTATTTTATCTCTCCCTGTACGGTTCATCTTGTAAACAGTTGATTGCACACACAGTTCACACAGCACACGGTTAATAAGCAAGCTTTTTTTTCTAAAATTACATGTTTATAGAATGATGCTTGAATAGTTTTTAAGCTTAAATGCATTAATGTTAAAATGATAACTTTGCGAATCATCGCATAGGGATTTGGGAAGGCGCAGCCTCAGTAACGTGAAATTACCTGCTTTGGCTGGCTACCTTAACCAATGCTTTCTAAAGTCTGTTTTATCTCTCCCTGTACGGTTCATCTTGTAAACAGTTGATTGCACACACAGTTCACACAGCACACAGTTGACTCTGTATGAATGTGGGCTACACTGACCTACAGACCTTCACGATAGAGTTTGAGACAAAGGCAACCATGTGTGTCGGCAGGGTGGACAGTATTGCTAAAAAAAGGGGGGGGGGAAAGGTAATAAGTGGCGAGACTGCGCTCAAGCTGCTATACAGAAACTTGTAGACTTGTAGTAAGCACAAGCATTGCACCAGCGTCTATATGCATCACAACCTAGAGAAGCGCTTTTTCATGTATGCGTCCGAGTCGCTATGTCGGAAGAAGCAAAAAGTGAAGGATGGGGAGACAGCTAGACAGACAGCATTGTCCCACCAAGGGGGAAAAGAATGACAGAGTGTAGGATAAATACGTCACCACCGTATAGCTTCAAAAGATGGATACCGTGGCATAGAGCGATGTTTAAGCGAAGAATAGAGAAAAACTTCGGAGTAACACAGTCTGTATAAGGACTTCAACAGTTTTAAAGGTAGGCACTAACCTTTCTTGACGTCTGTGAAGAACCCCGGGTGGTCAAAATTTTCGGAGCCCTCCACTACGGCATCTCTCATAATCATATGGTAGTTTTGGGATTTAAGCCCCGCATGTCAATCCATCAATCAATCAGTTACTCAATCATCCTTGACGTCTGTGTCATCTTTTCCTTTTTGCTTTTCATATGTGCCACGCTAGTGCAAGCTAAGTTCATGTTTAAGCGAAGAATAGAGAAAAACTTCGGAGTAACACAGTCTGTATAAGGACTTTAAAAGTTTTTTGGTTCGGGCGAGTTGGTTATCCATGAACTTAGCTAGTATTAATGCAGCGCATATGAAAAGTAAAAAGGAAAACACGACACAGACATCAAGAAAGGTAGGCACTAACCTTTCTTGACGTCTGTGAAGAACCCCGGGTGGTCAAAATTTTCGGAGCCCTCCACTACGGCATCTCTCATAATCATATGGTAGTTTTGGGATTTAAGCCCCGCATGTCAATCCATCAATCAATCAGTTACTCAATCATCCTTGACGTCTGTGTCATCTTTTCCTTTTTGCTTTTCATATGTGCCACGCTAGTGCAAGCTAAGTTCATGTATAAGGACATAATTATATAGTAGGTGTGTTGCATTTAAATGTTACATGTCTGTAATCAGCCAAGCCTTTCTAAATTACTGCTTTATTTTCAAATTCGAGGGTATGACTTACTAATGTTCGAAGTTTAAAAAACGGCACCTCGATGAGAATGTGTTCCATCT